TCCTCATCATCTGCAAGTGCTTTGCCGACTGGCGGAGGCAAGCTGGCATCTCCACATTTTATTATCTCCAGCCACCTGTTTAAGTTATTGTGTTCGTGGATCTAACACACGTCCACGCCATGATAAAAGGTTGTCAAGTCTTATTTAATCTCATCGTCTTTGTAAACGTTACTTTCCAGTTGTGCAGTATGTTACAGTTTTCCTTTCCTTGTATGACCCAAAATGATTAGATATTCATTAGTTAAGGTTCCGACATTAATGCAGACGGGTCGCACCATTACTGTTTCTAAGACCTCAAGCAAGCTCCTGTACAGATACATCTCTGTGACCTCAAGCATTTTTCTGTACAGCCAAATCTCTGAGATCTCAAGCATTCTTCTGTACAGCCAAATCTCTAAGAGCTCAAGCATTCTTCTGTACAGCCAAATCTCTAAGAGCTCAAGCATTCTTCTGTACAGTCACATCTCTGAGATCTCAAGCATTCTTCTGTACAGCCACATCTCTGAGATCTCAAGCATTCTTCTGTACAGTCACATCTCTGAGATCTCAAGCATTCTTCTGTACAGTCACATCTCTGAGATCTCAAGCATTCTTCTGTACAGTCACATCTCTGAGATCTCAAGCATTCTTCTGTACAGTCACATCTCTGAGATCTCAAGCATTCTTACGTACAGCTACATCTCTAAGATCTCAAGCATTCTTACGTACAGCCACATCTCTGAGATCTCAAGCATTCTTCTTCTGTACAGCCAAATCTCTGAGATGTCAAGCATTCTTCTTCTGTACAGCCACATCTCTGAGATCTCAAGCATTCTTCTGTACAGCCACATCTCTGAGATCTCAAGCATTCTTCTGTACAGCCACATCTCTGAGATCTCAAGCATTCTTCTGTACAGCCACATCTCTGAGATCTCAAGCATTCTTTTGTACAGCCACATCTCTGAGATCTCAAGCATTCTTCTGTGCAGCCACATCTCTGAGATCTCAAGCATTCTTTTTCTGTACAGCTACATCTCTGAGATCTCAAGCATTCTTTTTCTGTACAGCTACATCTCTGAGATCTCAAGCATTCTTCTGTACAGCCACATCTCTGAGATCTCAAGCATTCTTTTTCTGTACAGCCACATCTCTGAGATCTCAAGCATTCTTCTGTACAGCCACATCTCTGAGATCTCAAGCATTCTTCTGTACAGCCACATCTCTGAGATCTCAAGCATTCTTCTGTACAGTCACATCTCTGAGATCTTAAGCATTCTTCTGTACAGCCACATCTCTGAGATCTCAAGCATTCTTCTTCTGTACAGCCACATCTCTGAGATCTCAAGCATTCTTCTTCTGTACAGCCACATCTCTGAGATCTCAAGCATTCTTTTTCTGTACAGCCACATCTCTGAGATCTCAAGCATTCTTCTGTACAGCCACATCTCTGAGATCTCAAGCATTCTTATGTAAGCCACATCTTCAGTGCATCAAGGATTATTCTGTACAGTGACAAGAAAAATGTGTATTTGTGTGTGTGTGTGTGTGTGTGTGTGTGTGCGCGCGCGCGCGCGTGTGTCGGTGGTAGAGACCGACAGAAAGAATGTAATATAAAATATGAGGGAGTTAAAGTAAGAGGTGGAGGAAAAAACAACAGAGGGAGAGTAAAAGAGATGATGGAGAGTGACAGAGACTAAGGGAAGAGAGAGGAAGAATGTAAGAGAGAGAGAGAGAGAGAGAGAGAGAGAGAGAGAGAGAGAGAGAGAGAGAGAGAGAGAGAGAGAGAGAGAGAGAGAGAGAGAGCCACATGGACAAAAATGAAAATACACTCAGACATTAAAATGCGTTTGCACTGTAAGTGCAGTTAATGCTTACGTGTTGAGAACTGCTATAGTTAAATGTCAACCCACTCTCCAGTATGATAATTATGTGTTGAGAGATGGGCTATCTCGGTTCTGGTGGCTTGTCGGAGTGAATAAAAAGGGCATCGTTGCTGTTATTATGTTGCAGTTGCTGTTGTTACCATTGTGTTGTTGCTGGTGTTATTACTCATCATCAAATGCCTTGCCGACTGGCGCGGGCGCTCATGCCTCTCCACAACTCGCCCTCTGCAACTGCGTGCATCAGTTCTTGTGTAGACGCCCCTTCATGCCGTGATAAAAGACTGTCAAGAATCTTCTCACTCTGTCTTCCTCTGTCGCTCGTTCCGCAGATCTTTCTAGTGTTCACAACACGTCCAGTTACCTTCCGATAACATGACCAAATAATGATAAATGTGATAATGTGGTGTCGGGCCTCGAACCTCATTTAAAACAACTGGGCTAACTTTTTTTATCTACTGTTCCAAAGAACGCTAAGTGCCTTCGACTGTAAAAACCACATTTTCGAGGCCTCCAGAAATGGTCTGGTTTGTGTATTAATTGTCCAGGATTCACAGCCGTATGTTAAAACTGGCTCTATATAGCCTGCGAGGATTTTGTCCCTGACCACCAAAGGCATGGATGTATTGCCTAAAATTGTGTGGATTCTATAAAATATAGTTTTGGCCTGTTTTGTTGTTGTTGTAAATCGCTGTTATACATCTGCGATCAGATGTTATCAGTGTGGGTAGATGTGTATTTGTATTAAACATTTAGATACTATTATTTTCATTCATATTATTATTTTTTTTATTATTATATTCTGCTAGTGGTGGTGCTGCTGCTGACTACTACCAACCTTCACCACCACCACCAGCACCAGCACAGTCTCTACTTTTATTACTACCACCACCACCAGTCTCTACTTTTATTACTACCACCACCACCAGTCTCTACTTTTATTACTACCACCACCACCAGTCTCTACTTTTATTACTACCACCACCACCAGTCTCTACTTTTATTACTACCATCACCACCAGTCTCTACTTTTATTACTACCACCACCACCAGTCTCTACTTTTATTACTACCACCACCACCAGTCTCTACTTTTATTACTACCATCACCACCAGTCTCTACTTTTATTACTACTATCACCACCAGTCTCTACTTTTATTACTACCATCACCACCAGTCTCTACTTTTATTACTACCACCACCACCAGTCTCTACTTTTATTACTACCATCACCACCAGTCTCTACTTTTATTACTACCACCACTACCAGTCTCTACTTTTATTACTACCATCACCACCAGTCTCTACTTTTATTACTACCACCACCACCAGTCTCTACTTTTATTACTACCACCACCACCAGTCTCTACTTTTATTACTACCACCACCACCAGTCTCTACTTTTATTACTACCAGTCTCTACACCCACCACCAGTCTCTACTTTTATTACTACCTCACCACCACTACTTTTATTACTACCACCACCACCAGTCTCTACTTTTATTACTACCATCACCACCAGTCTCTACTTTTATTACTACCACCACCACCACCAGTCTCTACTTTTATTACTACCACCACCACCAGTCTCTACTTTTATTACTACCACCACCACCAGTCTCTACAGTCTACCTCACCACCAGTCTCTACTTTTTATTACTACCATCACCACCAGTCTCTACTTTTATTACTACCACCACCACCAGTCTCTACTTTTATTACTACCATCACCACCAGTCTCTACTTTTATTACTACCATCACCACCAGTCTCTACTTTTATTACTACCACCACCACCAGTCTCTACTTTTATTACTACCACCACCACCAGTCTCTACTTTTATTACTACCACCACCACCAGTCTCTACTTTTATTACTACCACCACCACCAGTCTCTACTTTTATTACTACCACCACCACCAGTCTCTACTTTTATTACTACCATCACCACCAGTCTCTACTTTTATTACTACCATCACCACCAGTCTCTACTTTTATTACTACCACCACCACCAGTCTCTACTTTTATTACTACCACCACCACCAGTCTCTACTTTTTTATTACAGTCTCTACCATCACCACCAGTCTCTACTTTTATTACTACCATCACCACCAGTCTCTACTTTTATTACTACCATCACCACCAGTCTCTACTTTTTATTACTACTACATTACTCACACCACCAGTCTCTACTTTTATTACCTCACCACCATCACCACCAGTCTCTACTTTTTATTACTACCACCACCACCAGTCTCTACTTTTATTACTACCACCACCACCACCAGTCTCTACTTTTATTACTACCACCACCACCACCAGTCTCTACTTTTATTACTACCATCACCACCAGTCTCTACTTTTATTACTACCACCACCACCAGTCTCTACTTTTATTACTACCATCACCACCAGTCTCTACTTTTATTACTACCATCACCACCAGTCTCTACTTTTATTACTACCACCACCACCAGTCTCTACTTTTATTACTACCACCACCACCAGTCTCTACTTTTATTACTACCATCACCACCAGTCTCTACTTTTATTACTACCACCACCACCAGTCTCTACTTTTATTACTACCACCACCACCAGTCTCTACTTTTATTACTACCACCACCACCACCAGTCTCTACTTTTATTACTACCACCACCACCACCAGTCTCTACTTTTATTACTACCATCACCACCAGTCTCTACTTTTATTACTACCATCACCACCAGTCTCTACTTTTTTACTTACTACCTCTCACCATACCCACCAGTCTCTACTTTTATTACTACTATCACCACCACCAGTCTCTACTTTTATTACTACCACCACCACCAGTCTCTATTTTTATTACTACCATCACCACCAGTCTCTACTTTTATTACTACCATCACCACCAGTCTCTACTTTTATTACTACCACCACCACCAGTCTCTACTTTTATTACTACCATCACCACCAGTCTCTACTTTTATTACTACCACCACCACCAGTCTCTACTTTTATTACTACCATCACCACCAGTCTCTACTTTTATTACTACCATCACCACCAGTCTCTACTTTTATTACTACCATCATCACCAGTCTCTACTTTTATTACTACTATCACCACCACCAGTCTCTACTTTTATTACTACCACCACCACCAGTCTCTATTTTTATTACTACCACCACCACCAGTCTCTACTTTTATTACTACCATCACCACCAGTCTCTACTTTTATTACTACCACCACCACCATTCTCTACTTTTATTACTACCATCACCACCAGTCTCTACTTTTATTACTACCACCACCACCAGTCTCTACTTTTATTACTACCATCACCACCAGTCTCTACTTTTATTACTACCATCACCACCAGTCTCTACTTTTATTACTACCACCACTACCAGTATCTACTTTTATTACTACCATCACCACTGCTAGGATCTCTGCTGTGTAAGTAAAATAAAAAGTAAAGGTCCCTTTTTCAGGCCCTTAGGCGTATAGGGCTAGACCTATATTTTATAGACCAATCGGCACAAGATGGGTGATGTGGTCAGCATCACACCGGCCGCCTTTCCTCCCGGGGCCTGGACCCAGTACCCACTCAAGGCTGGGTCTACCTGGGAGCCAAAATCATTTTTGAAGAAAAAAAAAGTCAGGCCGCGCCAGGGAGCGAACCCACGACTTTCCAGTCCGCGGCTAGTGTCTAGCCGCTCCGCCACGGCGACTCCCCTTCGCTGTGTTGTTAGAACATAACTTACCAGTGCTCTGTTTGTTTTCTTACGAACACACTCCTTCCGCAGCGACATCCTTCAGCAGAGAGGCAAGACATTCCAGACGGTTGCTGCTAACCAGGACGGCATTGGAGAGTTGCTGGGCGGTCATCAGGCTAATGAAAATAACAATTCAGGTAAAAATTCATTTATTGTTTATTTCCGCCTGTTTGTCAGACTGCTGATGGAGTTTATCTAGGGCAGTGGTCTTCAGCCTTATTTCAGGCGGTGCCACTTTGAGTATATGGTAAGACCCTCTTACTCCCTTGAGTATATGGCAAGACCCCCTTACCCCCTTGAGTATATGGCAAGACCCCCTTGAGTATATGGCAAGACCCCCTTGAGTATATGGCAAGACCCCCTTACCCCCTTGAGTATATGGCAAGACCCCCTTACCCCCTTGAGTATATGGCAAGACCCCACCCCCTTTTGTATGTGGCAAGGTTCCCCCTATATCCTTGAAAATGAAAATAACAATTCAGGTAAAAATTCATTTATTGTTTATTTCCGCCTGTTTGTCAGACTGCTGATGGAGTTTATCTAGGGCAGTGGTCTTCAGCCTTATTTCAGGCGGTGCCACTTTGAGTATATGGTAAGACCCTCTTACTCCCTTGAGTATATGGCAAGACCCCCTTACCCCCTTGAGTATATGGCAAGACCCCCTTGAGTATATGGCAAGACCCCCTTACCCCCTTGAGTATATGGCAAGACCCCCTTACCCCCTTCAGTATATGGCAAGACCCCCTTGAGTATATGGCAAGACCCCCTTACCCCCTTGAGTATATGGCAAGACCCCACCCCCTTTTGTATGTGGCAAGGTTCCCCCTATATCCTTGACTTTTTTTTTTTTTAAATAGTTGTAAAAAAATGTTTTTTATCGTCATCATCATGTGCCCTGCCAACTGGCTTAGGCGCTCATGCATCTCCGCAGATCACGATCCCTGGTTGCCTGGAACAGCTCTCGTGATCATATCCCTCCATGCCATCGTTTCAGCTCATCCAGCATCATCTCTCTTGGTCTGCCTTTACCCCTCTTTTCACTGATCTCTCCAGTTGTCATTTTATTTATAATAAAACAATTTTTCTTAAAATATTAGTGTAACAGATTATTACAAATATAAATGAACTCATAAAAAAAAATTGCGTGACGCCCACCTCCTCTTTGGAACTTAATCACACACAATTGGGGGGGGGGGGACCCCATAGGTTGCAAACCACTGAACTAGAGGGGAAGTAGTGGCTGAATGTTTCTTAAAAGATGTGCTGTTAATTAATTCTCATCCCTGGGAGGAGTTTGAGTAAAGGATCAGGTAATCAGGAAATGGATTGGAGAGGTGCACTTGATGGAGCTGCAGGGAGGGGAAAAGGGGGGGGGGGGGGGGGGCAATGAGAAGACACAATGGGGCATGTTGATTGTTGTATGGAAGAAGGGAGGAGGGAAAGATTGAGGGATGTGCTGATTTGGAAAAACAGACCAATAGAGATGGGAGAAATTGGAGGAATCGATGGGTTGATTGCTGTAGGTGGGGGGGGGGGGGGGGGGGGGTGGCCTGTTCTGTGCATGGTTTGTGTGTGTTGTTCAATGTGCAGTGTGAATATGTGGTTTGTGTAATATAGTGCCTGATGTGCCTGTGTGAGTCTTAGATAGGTGTTACTTCAACTGGCTGTCATACAAAGCTGTTACTTTAACTGAAAGATGTTTAGGTAGGTTTAGGTTATTAAAATAATAAAGTATTGAGATGAGATGGTTCAACTATTAATTGGTGCCGACTGAGTTGATATAGTAACTGGATTGGGCAAAACGTGGTAAGAAAGGTATATAAATAGAAATCAGCAAATTTTTTGTATACAAGGGTTAATTTCCTCTCTCCCCCCTCTCTCCCTCCCCCTCCTCTCTCCTCTCTCTCTCTCTCTCTCTCTCTCTCTCTCTCTCTCTCTCTCTCTCTCTCTCTCTCTCTCTCTCTCTCTCTCTCTCTCTCTCTCTCTCTCTCTCTCTCTCTCTCTCTCTCTCTGTGGGGGGAGGGGCGGGAGTGTTCAGTGGTCTATATGTGTCGAGACTAAGGTCAAAGTTGAGAGGATCTACTTCATTGTACCAGCTTTGATCCCACATGGCTCGGTCTGTCTCCGCAGAATGGCATGCCCCTCCTGAGAGCATCACACATCTCATAAACTCCATAGCTCTGGCAATTATCCGGCAACTATCCCAACAGATCTTCTTCAAGATTATACCTCTAGACTAGTAGTCTTGTTGCAGAACCTGTGTGTTGCGTGCACATCCGTTTTATCATATCTGCGTGAAGACTGTTGGTTCCTTGCCTCTCTGGCAAATGCAGTGCGACTTCAGAGGATGCACCCTAGTCGACTCTTATGACATGCTTGTTGGGGAGGCAGTGGGTCTATTCTTGTATTCCCCACAAGAGGCCTCAGAGCCCTCATAGGGAAAGCCCAGGATAAAAACCAGGACATATCCTGGAAGTTACAGGCACTCTGATCATGTTGGGCATCCATGAAATGTCAGTAGGTCTGTAACACTCTAGGCCTAGCATCATATTCTAGATTCAGATAGTGAAAGGAAAAGGTTAAAAGGTTCCTCCTTTACTTAAAAGGGGAGTCACCATGGTGTAGTGGCTAGATGCTTGCCTGTGGATTGGAAGGTCGTGGCTTCGGGGCCTGACCGAGCCTGACTTTGAAAAAAAAAAAAAAGGACCTTGATTCTAAGGTCGACCCAGCCTTGAGTGAGTACCAGGTACAGTCCTGGGCAGTAAAGGTGGCCAGCATGATGCAGACCACCTCACTCACCAAGTGCCGATTGGTTCTATAAAATATAGATCTAGCCCTATATACCCAGTAAGCCTGAAGACATGGAAAAAGGTCTTTTACTTACTTACTTTTTTTTAATAAGACAACTTGTTGCTGACAAATTTGTCTTGGAATATTTTCAGTGTTACTTCTTCCAGTTCCTGAAAGAGGTTCACAGAAATGCATTGGTCTAGTTGTGGTGAGTCGTGGTTCATTCTACGTCTGACTGGTTGGGCCAGTTTGGGTCTGGTGTGTGGTCATAAGTTTATTGGTTTCTTGCTGAGAGATGAAGTGACTAGGAGAAAGAAGTGGGGTTAACTGAGGTGGCTGGGAGAAAGAAGTGGGGTTACCTGAGGTGGCTAGGAGAAAGAAGTGGGGTTACCTGAGGTGGCTGGGAGAAAGAAGTGGGGTTACCTGAGGTGGCTAGGAGAAAGAAGTGGGGTTACCTGAGGTGGCTAGGAGAAAGAAGTGGGGTTACCTGAGGTGGCTAGCAGAAAGAAGTGGGGTTACCTGAGGTGGCTAGGAGAAAGAAGTGGGGTTACCTGAGGTGGCTGGGAGAAAGAAGTGGGTTTACCTGAGGTGCTGGGAGAAAGAAGTGGGGTTACCTGAGGTGGCTGGGAGAAAGAAGTGGGTTACCTGAGGTGGCTGGGAGAAAGAAGTGGGGTTAACTGAGGTGGCTGAGAATAAAATGGTGTTAACTGAAGTGGTTTCCATTAAAGTCAAAGTGCATCTTCATGAGAAGTGAGGAACTAACAGTCTGCATAGAAATAAGGTACATCTGTCAAATTCTGCAACAGTATTAAAGTCTAGAAGTGGACGAACAGCTTGAACTTTCCACCAGGGGTTTACAATGGTGAATATTAAGAAGAAGAAGGATAAGACTAAAGTGAAAAAGAAGGATAAGACTAGGGTATCTGAGAATGAAATGGGGTTAACTGGGGTGGATGGGAGAATGAAGTGGGGTTAACTGGTGTGGATGGAAGAATAAAATGAGGTTAACTAGGGTGGATGGGAGAATGAAATGGGGTTAACTGGTGTGGATGGAAGAATAAAATGAGGTTAGTTAGGGTGGATGGGAGAATGAAATGGGGTTAGCTGGGGTGTATGGAAGAATGAACTGGGGTGGATGGGAGAATGAAATGGGGTTAACTGGGGTGGATGGAAGAATGAAATGGGGTTAGCTGGGATGGATGGGAGAATGAAGTGGGGTTAACTGGGGTGGATGGAAGAATAAAATGAGGTTAACTAGGGAGGATGGGAAAATGAAATGGGGTTAGCTGGGTGTCACATATCACTCCTGTCGCGTGCCTAATGTAAGGATTTCTCCTTCAGAACCAGCAGCACTCAGAGATAATTTTGTTGAGTCGTTTGGCTCGTATTGGTCTAAGGGATTCCCCGTGGCCAATATACGATCAACTTATCTCTGGAGTAGGGCAACTCAAGTATTGGCACTACAAAATATGTCAATATATATATATATATATATATTTCTAGGCACACTTGGCTGGACACCCCCACTACTTACTAAAGAAAGCCCCCAGGTTATGATAGTTCATTATCATAACCATGTTAACACATATAAAGAAGATACACATACATACACACTGCGAAACACTTAAAAACGGTGAAATAGAGACACCTAAGTCAGCCATGAAAATGAATGTATATAATCAATATAAATTAGATATATAAAAGTGAGACATTTTCCCGATCTCAGGATATCATGTCCAAATCACTAGGATCTACACAGACAGAAGGCCTTGGAGATGACATCTTTTCATCACTGGGCACAGGAAGCTGTGAGGAACACAACATCATGCGAAGCATTAGACTTATCTTCTCTTATCTCTGTCTATGATGCCTCCCTCAGCTCCGGATGATTTGACTGTCTTTGACTCTGGGAATTCTGCTCCACTGGATCAAGTAGCAAGAGTACTTCACTGTACAGCAACTGTACTGGTATCTAGCATGTCTATATCACCAGTAAGGACACACAATGTCTTAGAGCCACATTACTCTGGCACTGGTAGCTGTTTGAGGCACAATCTCCCCCATTTTTGGAGATGTCAGGAACCTTCACAGGTGTTAGCTGGTGGGTAACAAGTTGGTTCTGGTGGTTGGATTGGTGGGTGGATGTTGTTGAGACTGTGAATCTTCTGCCAGCTCTTCAGAAAATATACATCCTGTCAAGAAAATAACTCAACATTAGTCATCATCAAGAGGGTAACATCTTGACAGGAAAGACAGAGCAAGCATAGTCATCAACTCCCATCTGCTGACTCCTCCCTGCTCTCCTGTTTCATTCCTCAGATTGTCTCTCCAGACCAAAAGACATAAGTCTCCTATATTTATCTGTCTGTTTAGTGCAAGAGAAGGCAAGTCAGATATACAGTGGAGATAGATAAAGTGGTCTAACACATATATCACTCTCCCTATCCCCCTCACTCTGCACACAAACACCAATATTTACTGTCAGTACCTGCATTCACTAGTTTTCCCAACCGCCCCAGCACTCATTGATCTGGGTCAAGCCCACACATACTTTGATTAACACAGCCCTGACCCAATTCTGTCCCCATCTCGTATGTACAGATTCTGTAAGTAGTTTAAAACGTACACAATTGTAAGGGCATTAAATGTTTATCAGTATGGGTGGTTTATTGAGGGCATAAGCTATTTAGTCTGTACAGTGGAAGATCTACGTTCGAATCCGCTACTCTAGCGATCAAGAATGGTAGAACTAAGTGAGATCACACAGCCGATATGGATTTCTCTACAGCAGTGACTACTTTACAGACAACATTCTAGGTACTCGTAAACTATAATTAACTTACCCAAGCATATGTAAAAACTGAGACATTTCCAGATTGCCTTGAAAATTGACAGTATACAGGCACAGATTAACACATCTGGAGGCTTGAGAAGCTGGCAAGGAGAATGGCGTCAGCTAGACATTTCAGGCGTTGGTACAAAAGAAGTTCCTTGTATACTGGGGCAAGGAGTAAATCGGTTTCCAAGAAACCTCAATTAACTCCCTAAATATATCCCCAAGAGATATACATTTAAAAGTGGAGTTTAGTTAAAGTACCCAGAAAAGGCAGACATAATAATGTTGTCCAATACAGGCCTATATATATAGATATAAGGGACTATATATTTCTGGGCGAGTCCAAGTTTGAATTTTGTGCAGATTACAGGTAAGACAGGTTATCAGCCTTATAAACCGATGTGTAATGACTATCATTTCACGACACTGGGGTGTATGGAAGAATGAACTGGGGTGGATGGGAGAATGAAATGGGGTTAACTGGGGTGGATGGAAGAATGAAATGGGGTTAGCTGGGATGGATGGGAGAATGAAGTGGGGTTAACTGGGGTGGATGGAAGAATAAAATGAGGTTAACTAGGGAGGATGGGAAAATGAAATGGGGTTAGCTGGGGTGGATGGGAGAATGAAATGGGGTTAGCTGGGGTGGATGGGAGAATGAAATGGGGTTTACTGGGGTGGATGGGAGAATGAAATGGGGTTAGCTGCGGTGGATGGGAGAATGTAATGAGGTTAACCGGGGTGAATGGAAGAATGAAATGGCGTTAACTGGAGTGGTTGGGAGAATGAAATGGAGTTTACTGGGGAGGATGGGAGAATGAAATGAGGTTTCCTGGGGAGGATGGGAGAATGAAATGGGGTTAACTGGGTGAATGGGAGAATGTAATGGGGTTAACTGAGGTAGCTGAAAGAATGAAGTGGGATTAACTGAGATAGCTGAAAGAATGAAGTGGGGTTAACTGATTACAATACATACAAAGTAATTACAGTTGCATTTTTAGAAATGGATTGCTTTACACCCGGAGAATGCATTCCTTTTATGCCCACTCTGTTTTGGTTTCTTGATTACTCACTTTATATATCTTTTTGTATTTCTTAAAAAAAAAAAAAAAACTTCCTAAACAATGTTAGTTACCTGTGTAAAACTATGTTTAAAAAGAGAAAAAAAAAAAAAAAAAAGGTTTCTTCTGCAATTCCCTGGCCCATTTTTGTAAGCATTAGTGGGATGAAAGGGTTAACCAATGTGGAAGTACCAGCAATTTGTATTTTTGCATTATTTAATATTTTATTTCTCAAAGTTGAAATATGAATCACATTTAGTGTTCTCCTTTGATTTCTTCTTTTCCATTATGTGTGTTTTGGGAATAGTTTGAAACATCATGAACATTCTAGTACAATGGGTGATAACATGTCTTATTAAAGAAATAGGATCAGAATGATAAAGTGGACATTGCAAGATAAGTCTTTAAAAGTATGAGACATGCCATGGAAGTCAGAGTAATTCCCCGTCCACCTCACAGTGGTAGATGAGGGACAAGGCATAGAGTGGCAAATCGATGCAGGGGGATGAGTGTTTACTGGGATAAGTAAACATCCTCTGGGATAAGTAAACAGATGTTAGGATAAGCAGACGCCCACTGGGATAAGTAAACAGATGTTAGGATAAGCAAACATCCACTGGGATAAGTAAACAGATATTAGGATAAGTAAACATTCACTGAGATGAGTAAACAGATGTTAGGATAGGCAAACATCCACTGGGATAAGTAAACAGATGTTAGGATAAGCAAACATCCACTGTAATAAGTAAGCATGCACTGTGGAAACTAAACATCCACTATGATAAGTAAACATCTACTGGGTTAAGTAAACATCCACTGGGATAAGTAAACATTAACTGGGATAAGTAAACATCTGTTCGGATAAGCAAACATTAACTGGGATGCGTAAACATTTGTTAGGATAAGCAAACATCTGATAGGATAAGCAAACATCCACTGTGATCAGTAAGCATCCACTGGGATAAGTAAACATCCACTAAGATAACTAAACATCCACTGGGATAAGCAAACATTAACTGGGATAAGCAAACATCTGTTAGGATAAGCAAACATCTGTTAGGATAAGCAAACATCCACTATGATAAGTAAGCATCCACTGTGGAAAGTAAACATCCCCTGGGACAAGAAGTAAACAGCTCTGCATTTGAATGATGCAGTAAGCACTCAGCCCCCCCCCCCAATCCCCCCTCCTTTCCTCTCCCCCCCCCCCCACCACACACACACACTCATTATAAAATTGACTGAAGACTAATGAACCAAGCTACACCTGCTGATTAAAAAAAATTATGTTTTTTTGGGTAAACTGTTCTCTCTCTCTCTCTTGTTGTACCCCACCAGGACATTACACAAGCGATAAACACCCGGTGATACAAAGTGCCAACATGCGGATGAGGATCACCCGGTGGAGAGGTCCCATAAACCCCTTTCAGCTGTTAGGCCATATTTATGACCCAGCTATATTCAGGGTCCCCCGGCAAAAGCCAGGCTGGGGCTTCAAATAACAGAAAATTGCATCCCACATGGGGACGACTTGTTTCTATTGTTTGTCTTTTGTAGGTGGTGCTACAAGCGGGCTCTGCATCAAATGTCCATCCAAATAAAGTGGAACTCTGCTTGAAACAGGTACATTTTGCTTTAGATTTCTTGAAACAAGTAAATTGTGCTTTAGATTGCCTTAAACAGGTAAATTTTGCTTTAGATTGCCTGAAACAAGTACATTTTGCTTTATATTGCTTGAAACTGGTAAATTTTGCTTTAGATTGCTTGAAACAGGTGAATTTTACTTTATTTTGGTCATATTCCTTTTACTGGAAACCTGGACAGTGAAACTGAAAAATCGGATTGAATACCTGGAGATTTTGATATAAAAAAAGAAATGGCATTATTTCATGCAGAAATAAAAACTGTCAAAAAAACAGAGGTTGTGAAGAGACTGAAAATAAAACGAGTATTACTGAATGAATGAAAAAAAGAAAGATTTAAAGAAACTAAAATATTTTGGCCACATTACTTTGAAAAACGAGCTATAAAATATAGGTCTTTCCTTATATGCCCAATGTGCCCGAAGACGTGGAAAACAACCTTTACTTTACTGTACTTACTGCTTTTAGAAATGATACTGGAGAGAAGAGTCGAAGGCTTGAGAGCAAGAGGTAGGCAATGATACAAGTGGGAGAACAACATCAAGTGATAGATAAAAATGCAGTCTGAGAAAGAGTATTACCAAGACAAGAGACAGAATGCGTATGAGATCCATTGCAACCAAACATCACTGTGGAGAGAACACCTGCTTGATTGATTGATTGATCCCTGACACATCACACAACCAGTGCAGTTGGACTGTGCAAATACAGAACTAGCACTCTATGACCAAGGTGTGAAAACAGCTTCTTAACTTACATACTTCTCTTACACTGGTGTCCAGTTGACTCTCTGCATTTCTGTACCTATTTCTCTGTCTGTCTGTCTGTCTGTCTCTGTCTGTCTGTCTGTCTGTCTGTCTGTCTGTCTGTCTGTCTGTCTGTCTGTCTGTCTGTCTGTCTGTCTGTCTGTCTGTCTGTCTGTCTGTCTCTTTCTCTCTCTCTCTGTTTCTCTCCCCCCACACCTAATTTCTATATACTTATTTTGTTTAATCCTGAATTGACCTAATGTGTGTTTGAGATTGGAATATAGAATTTGCCTCATGACTGTTGCAGATTGGAATCAAGAATTAACCTAATTAATGGCTGTTCTGGGTTTGGAATCCAGAATTTACCAATTGATTGTTGGAGGTTGGAATCCAGAAACGAGGTGTCATAGCTTGCAGTTTACTACTGATAACTCAGTAACAGCTGAATGTTTGAATCCAACATTGACTCAATAACTACTGGAGCTTGGAATTCAGAATTAACCTAATGATTTCTGGTTTACACCCCCCCCCCCTTTCCCCACCAATCATCCCCATGTTAGTTCACTATTTTTGTAGTCTGCACTTATTTCTACAGTGATATCATTTGAATTCTATCCAGATCTCACTTACCTATGAGCTGGTCAGAGTCAACCACAACAAAAACAGTGAGCCTGATCTTTCCAACGTCCTGTCTGTCATACAACTGTGTGGTAAGTTGTCCAGTCCTGCGTCTTATACAGCTGTGTGGTTGTTTGTCCAGTCCTGTCTCTCATACAGCTGTGTGGTTGTTTGTCCAGTCCTGTCTCTCATACAGCTGTGTGGTTGTTTGTCCAGTCCTGTCTCTCATACAGCTGTGTGGTTGTTTGTCCAGTCCTGTCTCTCATACAGCTGTGTGGTAAGTTGTCCAGTCCTGTGTCTTATACAGCTGTGTGGTTGTTTGTCCAGTCCTGTCTCTCATACAGCTGTGTGGTTGTTTGTCCAGTCCTGTCTCTCATACAGCTGTGTGGTAAGTTGTCCAGTCCTGTGTCTTATACAGCTGTGTAGTAGGTTGTCCAGTCTTGTATCATTTACAGCTGTGTGGTAAGTTGTCCAGTCCTGTGTCTTATACAGCTGTGTGGTTGTTTGTCCAGTCCTGTCTCTCATACAGCTGTGTGGTTGTTTGTCCAGTCCTGTCTCTCATACAGCTGTGTGGTTGTTTGTCCAGTCCTGTCTCTCATACAGCTGTGTGGTTGTTTGTCCAGTCCTTTCTCTCATACAGCTGTGTGGTAAGTTGTCCAGTCCTGTGTCTTATACAGCTGTGTAGTAGGTTGTCCAGTCTTGTATCATTTACAGCTGTGTGGTAAGTTGTCCAGTCCTGTCTGTCATACAGCTGTGTGGTTGTTTGTCCAGTCCTGTCTCTCATACAGCTGTGTGGTTGTTTGTCCAGTCCTGTCTGTCATACAGCTGTGTGGTAGGTTGTCCAGTCCTGTCTGTCATACAGCTGTGTTGTAGGTTGTCCAGTCCTGTCTCTCATACAGCTGTGTGGTGGGTTGTCCAATGCTTTCTCTCATACAGCTGTGTGGTAGGTTGTCCAATCCTGTCTCTCATACAGCTGTGTGGTAAGTTGTCCAGTCCTGTCTGTCATACAGCTGTGTGGTAGGTTGTCCAGTCCTGTCTGTAATACAGCTGTGTGGTAGGTTGTTCAGTCCTGTCTCATACAGCTGTGTGGTAGGTTGTCCAATCCTGTCTCTCATACAGCTGTGTGGTAGGTTGTCCAATCCTGTCTCTCATACAGCTGTGTGGTAGGTTGTCCAATCCTGTCTCTCATACAGCTTTGTGTTAAGTTGTACAGTCCTGTCTCTCATACAGCTGTACGGTAAGTTGTTCAGTCCTGTCTCTCATACAGCTATGTGGTAAGTTGTCCAGTCTTGGGCCCGGCTGCATGTCCCAGTCGGAAAATCCATGTGTTCCCCCTTTTTTGGCATACGGACGCTTGGTATCCACTCATGTACAGTTATCTATTTTGAACTTTTAGCAGTATAGAGAAAGTTTCTATAAAATATACAGTTCAGAGATTTTATCCCAGTAGCTGGGTACCCATGCTTTAGTAATACTTCCCGCATGTCCCACACAGTAAATCCTTATGGTTAGTTGCGTATCCTTTACAGGACATTGCAGGCAAATTTACGTCCAGTAGTTTGCCATAAATCCTTATGAGTCCCTGTAATATTTATTTGCTGGTGCTTGGTATCCACTCATTCCACAGTTGTCTATTTTGAACCTTCCACATTACTGCTGGGGCGGAGCCACAGCGGTGTAGCGGCTAGATGCTCACCTGCAGATATGAAGATTGTAGGTTCAGGTCCCGACGAAGCCAGACTTTTTTTTTCAAAACTGCCTTGGCTCCCCGGTCTACCCAGCCTTAAATGGTACCTGGAACAGTCCTTGAAAGTAAAGGTGGCCAGTGTGATGTTGGCCTCATCACCACCAAGTCTATCAAATATAGATCTAGCCCTATATGCCTAGTACGCCTGAATGCATGGAAAAAGGGGTCCTTTACTTTTACAGTACTGACAGAAAATGTTGCTGTAAAATATACAATTCAGAGAACTCATCCCAGGAGTTGTGTACCGATGCTCTAGTAACACCTCCAGTTTTACAAAGATACCTCATGTGTGAATTGACTAATTTAACATTGACAGCTCTGTTTAATCTCTTTGACAGGAGAGTTGAACGATCAAGATGCTGCCAAACTTGAAGTCAAGGTTGTTCGATATGTAAGTTTGGTCTCTTTCTTAATTTATAGTCAAGTACAGTTTGAGTTGATTTGATTCAGGAACTGACATCACAGCACTCAGGGCATTCCCATAAGCGCTCTGTCCCTATCTTCAGCAGCCAGCCCAGAGTTTCATTACCAAATGGTGCCAGTAGTGATGGGAAAGACTGGTGACCTGATGCATATTCCAGAGATCTGGTATTTACGGGAGCCTAGCTACCAACACAAACGGACAACACTAACAAATGACGGACAGAATCATTGTGAGGTTCCACCTAAAATTTCACACACATCTCCATGACTTCATTAACCCGTTCTTATTGCAGGAAGACAACTATAAGACCACTATGGTCACACGCGGAATATTTTCACATTTCGGGTCTATCCTAACCCAAAAAAAATATTTTCAGTACTTTTTGGCAAAGTAAAATACTTGAAATTTTAAAACCATAAATAGTGGTCCAAAAGACGTTATGTTGAGAAGCTCTCTCTCCTAAAAACACGCCTGGCCAAATCAGAAGTAGCTGAAACCAAGGCAGAAACATCAGAAATGAAAGGGCAAGAAGAACACAGCTGACAACAGGATAGGGAATGAGCGGTCTGACATGGAAGAAAGAAGCATTAAGCCCAGAGACGGCGCAAATACCAGAACATTATCCATGAAAGAAGCGCAAATAAACAAGACCACAAATATAGCCGTAGACTGTTGGCAGCTTTGGCTAGCTAGCAGCAGGTTGAAGAAGGTGGTTGAGTATTTGATTGTTTTTGAAAGGAATTGGAAATTGGAACATCCACATAGCACTGGCGACCAGGTCACCCATTGGCTCGCTGTTGATGACTTCCTGGCTGGTTGGGATAGTATTTGGGTCAGTCTCTTTTGATCGTATCAACACTGCAAGAGTTTTTCTCAGAGCTACTTAGTGGCGAGCAGTGTTAAGCCATTTATATGGCTCACATAACCCAGTCACAATTATAACCTCGAGCTTCCCCTTCGGGGATGCTGGTTGAACGTGACGATTTTTAATGGGTTTTTTTTTTTGGGCAAAGCTACTATCGCAAGTACTATTCTCATAGCACAGACGCATTCTTCTTGTCAGCACGGACTAACACTACCCAACATTTTATGAAAGCACTTAACTGGCAGACAGCAAGTTTCTTCCTACCTACTGAAACACAAATGCTTAACTTGTACTGTCTCCTTGCAGCTCCAAGAACACACGAATTCAGAGAGTGGCTTTCTTCTGCTGGTGGTTCCAGAGACACAGATGCTGTATTGTCAGGTAAGTTGAAGGGATCAAATCAAATGGTTTGGCCATGTAACCAGAATTGGCATCAGACAGGGCACCACAGAGAGCAATGCTGTTCAGATACAGCGGTAACAGAGCCAGAGGTCGACCACGCAGACGATGGACTTCAGAAATATCTGAGACACTGAAAAGTTCTATATACGAAGCGAACAGAAGGGCCCGTACCAAGATCTCTTCCTGTCCTGGCACCACGAGGCATTCCAGGAGTAGAGAGAAGAAGTTTAAGGAAAGTGCTGTAGAGGGCAGCTGTTGCTTAGATGGGAGCTGTTGCTGTAGATGGCAGCTGTTGCTGTAGATGGCAGCTGTAATTCTGTTGCAGGTGTCTAACCAGAACCTCAGTCATTGGGACTAAACATATAAGTAAGTCCACACAAGTTGGAAAATGCTCAAGAATCAGATTGATTTATCTTCCCCCCCCCCCCTTTTTTTTTGGGTGCTTTTTTGGCCAAAAAGTGGGTTATGAAACTGTTGAAATTCCTGAAAATAATATTTGATTTTTTTTTTAAACACACATCACTAATAATCCCCCCCCCCCCCCCCCCCCCTCGCCGGCAAAATAAATTACATTTACATTGTTTAAAAACAAAAAAATGTGAAATATATACAAAGAGTAATCAGTAAACATGAACAGAGTAAAGCATAACATTGAATGCATTTCCTGAGGCCTAAAAAACGTATGTATCAGGTGACTCATATCTTGACAGTGTGACCCCCATCACTGGGGGGGGGGGGGGGGGGGGGGAATGTGACATCAGCATGGCTTGAAAAACATTGTTCACAAAACCTGTTCATCTGGTAATTTGTTGCTTGTTTATTTCAGGCTATCGGAAATACTGTTTTACAAGAAGAGATCCGATTTGCAGTAAGTAGAACCCATTGCCATATGTTGCTAATGTTTAATGGTTTGTATGAATACAATTTATCGTCCCTGTACGGGTTTCCAGGCCACATTTTGGTTTGAAAAAGAATGCCACACTAACAAGCATGTCATAAAAGGCAGCTAGTTATAAGTTTGTTGAAATTATATGTGTTGGGCCAAAAGGCGCAGATATCTCAGGTTAGCTGTAAACCACAACACAATGTGACTTTTAAGCAGGAACGCAGAAGCTGAAGATGAAAAGAAGAAATTCCTTATATCATTATCAGCTGAGCCCAGTTTAAAAGCATAACATGGATTGTCTACCCACAACATGTTGTATCCAGGACAGGATGCAGGCTTAGATAGCAACTGTTGTTGGTAGATGGTAGCTGTCGCTGTAGATAGTAGCTGTCGCTGTAGATGGTAGCTGTTGCTGTAGATGGTAGCTGTCGCTGTAGATGGTAGCTGTCACTGTAGATGGCAGCTGTCGCTGTAGATGGTAGCTGTGGCTGTAGAAGGTAGCTGTCGCTGTAGATTGTAGCTGTCGCTGTAGATGGTAGCTGTCACTGTAGATGGCAGCTGTTGCTGTAGATGGTAGCTGTCGCTGTAGATGGTAGCTGTCGCTGTAGATGGCAGCTAGCGCTGTAGATGGTAGCTGTTGCTGTAGATGGTAGCTGTTGCTGTAGATGGCAGCTGTTGCTGTAGAAGGTAGCTGTCACTGTAGATGGCAGCTGTCGCTGTAGATGGTAGCTGTCGCTGTAGATGGTAGCTGTTGCTGTAGATGGTAGCTGTCACTGTAGATGGCAGCTGTTGCTGTAGATGGTAGCTGTCGCTGTAGATGGTAGCTGTAGATGGCAGCTGTCGCTGTAGATGGCAGCTGTTGCTGTAGATGGTAGCTAGCGCTGTAGATGGTAGCTGTCGCTGTAGATGGTAGCTGTCACTGTAGATGGCAGCTGTTGCTGTAGATGGTAGCTGTCGCTGTAGATGGTAGCTGTAGATGGCAGCTGTCGCTGTAGATGGCAGCTGTTGCTGTAGATGGCAGCTGTTGCTGTAGATGGTAGCTGTCGCTGTAGATGGTAGCTGTCGCTGTAGATGGTAGCTGTCGCTGTAGATAGCAGCTGTCGTTGTAGATGGCAGCTGTGGCTACTCTGGGCAGCTGTCCACTTCATGACGAGAAAGATGTAAGGAAAGCTCTCTGGGTAACACAGCAGCTAATCCTCACACACACAGGACTGCTGGTATAGCCATTACTGACTGACTTAGTTCTTCTGCCTTTGAGTGTAGAGGTACCCATAGTTGGTGACCTGATTATAACATCTTGGGAGGTTGAACGAGGTATGATTATGATTTTTAATCTCAGGGTGGTCGTACCATCAGATAGCAACCTGAAGAAAAAAAAAGGGGGGACACATGATGGAGGAAAACGCTATTGTGGATCAAGTAAATTGTGCAGCATAATAATGAATGTACATGTCTGAATCGTTTATGAATACTTTGTAAAATATTATGATTTCAGTAACCTTTTCTTGTTTGAATTGCAGGGCCCATCCAGTTGTTTCTGGCATGCACTTGAAAACAAACAACCTATGACTCTGGCAGATATTCCACCCGTAAGTCCCAGCATATTTGTTTGAATTGTTTTATGTCTCAGGTTATGTCTTGTATCTCAAGTTATGTCTTGTATCTCAGGTTATGTCTTGTATCTCAGGTTATGTCTTGTATCTCAGGTTATGTCTTGTATCTCAGGTTATGTCTTGTATCTCAGGTTATGTCTTGTATCTCAGGTTATGTCTTGTATCTCAGGTTATGTCTTGTATCTCAGGTTATGTCTTGTATCTCAGGTTATGTCTTGTATCTCAGGTTATGTCTTGTATCTCAGGTTATGTCTTGTATCAGCAGCTGCATCAATATGGTCAAGAAGATCAAAGCTGGGTACATGCAAAAATGGCATCAATCTGTTTTGGAAAACAAAGAATACCGCTGCCCTTTTCACTAGCATGTCGTAAAATGTGACTGATAAGGAGTGTTTCCTTTGATGTCATCCGCCTGAGAGGTGGAGAATCCACAGTCAGTTTTTCACAAGTAACTCGGGGACGCGTTAGCACAGTCAATAGGAGACTCGCTTTCAAATGCAGCTGCTACTCGCTGCAGCCCATGGCCGGTGTTAAAACCGGATGGTTCCCGGGGTTCACCCAGCCTCTAAGAAATGGGTACCAGAGTTAACTCTCTGGGGTAAATGAAGGAAATTTGCTATAGCTACAGAGTTTTGTGCAGACGGTGACACAGGCGGACAGGCTCTTATCAGCTGTCTGTACTGGCGGCAGAGCACTTATGGTTTATAACAGTTTGCAATGACGCTAGTTCACATCTCCCGACTTTACCTCTTTTTTTTTTTTTTTAACCTTTTCAAGTGATTCTCACTTCCTGAACTTGTTATTCACATTATTTTATGTTCCACGCAATCATGTCTAAGATGTTTGTAGATTTGCACAGACCCTTCACACATACACACTATGTGGCACATTAATTAGCTAACAGTAGAATAGTAAAGGACTAGTTTACACCTTATGAATGCCCGGCTCGCTAGCGTAGTTGGCTAAACCTGACTTCGCGACGACCAGGTGACAAACTCCTTGTGGTCCTGGTTCACGCCTGGGGGTAGGCAGAAAAGCCAAATTTCTCCCAGATTTACGGTATTTATCATGGAATCAAGGCCGAAGAGTTGCGATATCCATAGTACTGAGCCAAAGGGTTAAAAACTCAAGGTTTCTGGATCTTTAAAAAAAAAAAAACTCATGAAATACTTTTGGTGTGTGATAATAATGAAAAATTAAAAGACCAATTTACACACCATGATGTGCATTAGGTATATGATACAGATAAAGGTAAGGACCTGGTTACACAAGGTGACATACATTATTTATATAAGGTAAAGTTAAGGAACCCAGTATCAGAGCCTAAAATGTGAGAACGGAAAAATCAAAACGACGAGGAAGACCAAGAAGAAGTGGATAGATGGAGTTAACAGCTTGCTGAAACTCAGCATTATCACCTGTGCTTGCGATGCCTAACAGCATTAAGCAGAGAAAGACAATACATTGTTAGAAAGTTAAGAACCAGTTTACACCATGATGTGCATTAGGTATTTAATCAAGGTGTCAAGTCTTGGCTGTTATCCACACCTCAGTGCATATTGGTTATTTGATACAGGTGCAAAGTCATACAGGACTTTTGTTAGCAAAGTGATCAAGCCATTTGTCTCACGCTCTGAAGGTCATGGGTTCGCTTCACGGACATGTCATTCAAAGCTCATGGGTGCAGTTTTTGCTGAGATCCTTGTGTGCTATTGCTGGAGCTGTGTAGTTCCTTCCTGCTTTGTAAAACACGTCAGGAAAGGGGCTAGCCATTCTGTGGAGAGAGAATGAGCCATATGGGATAAAACTTGTAAGGAAGTCAGTCATCTTGACTTTAAAAAAAAATTCACTACAGGGAAACATTGTTTTGATTTACTGAAACATCACCTCCCTCAGTCAACAGTAAAGCGACTGGATGGATTGTTTAAACCGAAGTGCAAAATTGCAATGCAGGATTGCCGGTTTCAGTTCCTTGAAGAAAGCCTTACAACTGGAATAAATGCATTTGTGAAGCAACTTGTGTATACAGAAAGATATGGTTTTGATATTGCGGCTGCACTGGTAAAACAGGCAGTTATGTTTGATTGTAGTTGAATTTGTACTTCACTTATAAAGGATTCACTTATCTGCTTCATTTATGTAATTGTTACTGTAGTGTGCCCCTAACAAGATACAGTGAAATATGCCAGGCAATAAATTGTGCAAACTTTTGTTTGTGTGTCTTCTTTGTTCGAATATAATGAGTTAACCCTAAATTTTAACTCTTTGAAGATCAACATTTTTGTTGTCTGCCTCTTTCCCTCTCTGTACTGACCCATCTTTTCATTCATATTCATTTCTTTTGTATTGTTCACAGAATGTTTATGATTTCTTCATTAGGATCGACGGCATGAGGTCGAGAAAATCATGCGCAGAGAAATCCACAACTTGCTGTGTGTGCCAGTTTGCCTCAGTGACAGTAAAGATCTTTTGGCACTGGCGTGTATGGTCAACAAATGCAATGGAGAAGAGTAATCAGTTTTTCTTACTTGATATACAGTTAAAAAAGAAAAAAAAAGACCTTTTTCAGTCTTATGTCACATTAAACATGCCTTCAGGCCCATTGGGTATATATGGCTAGACCTTTTTTAATTGACAAGAAGGCACTCAATAGGTGATGTGTCAACATCATGCTGGCTGTCTTTACTTCCCAGGACTTTACCTGTACCCATTTAAGGCTGGCTCATATGGTGCTAGACCTATATTTTTAAGTAAAGGACCCTTTTTGTGTGAGTGGTTTATTAGATATTTGATGTTAGACCAGTTGGTCCCCCATGTGGACAGCCAGCCATCTCAGTGTCTTCATGCTCACTGTACCCAGCAGGAGTTGACTGTCACATCTTCTTTCTTTGTTCCACAACTGGTGTCTGCATGCTTGGTCTCGTTTAGTACTAATTTTTAACAGCCAGTTCATCATCTCTGACTCCTTTGTCTCTACATCTCTGGAATGCAGCACATTCAGTATGTCTGCCCTGCTCTTACTTCTTCCACTAACTACTGCATACACAGCCAGTCTTTCAGCTCTTTCATATCATTTCACCCTAACATATACTGGTGTGTACAGCCAATATATTTTCTTGAAGTAAAAATTCTAGATGCTGTCAATCCATTCTAGTCGGACCTTGCCAGTTTGGATCTTCTTGAACTATGCTCATTGAGTCTGTCACTGTCAGTGCATGAGTTGTCATGATGTGCTTCACTCGATGTTATCACATAATTTTTGTTCAAAGAATGTAGATTATCTTGTTGCTCTGAGACTGCAAGCATGAATTAACCCACTAGCCTCTGTTTGCTTCCACAGATTCAGCACGGCTGACATAGATACAATCCATCAGTGCTTCAAATACACAGCTACTGTTCTAACCAGCACCCTGGCCTTCCAGAATGAGAGAAAGCTCAAGAATCAAACCCAGGTATGTATGTGGAGGGATGAATGTGTGAGTCCTTGGAAGTGGAGTGATGGATGTGTGAGTCCTTGGATGTGTGAGTCCTTGGATGTGTGAGTCCTTGGATGTGTGAGTCCTTGGAAGTGGAGTGATGGAAGTGTGAGTCCTTGGATGTGGAGTGATGGATGTGTGAGTCCTTGGATGTGGAGTGATGGATGTGTGAGTCCTTGGATGTGTGAGTCCTTGGATGTGTGAGTCCTTGGATGTGGAGTGATGGATGTGTGAGTCCTTGGATGTGGAGTGATGGATGTGTGAGTCCTTGGATGTGTGAGTCCTTGGATGTGTGAGTCCTTGGATGTGTGAGTCCTTGGAAGTGGAGTGATGGATGTGTGAGTCCTTGGATGTGTGAGTCCTTGGAAGTGGAGTGATGGATGTGTGAGTCCTTGGAAGTGGAGTGATGGATGTGTGAGTCCTTGGAAGTGGAGTGATGGATGTGTGAGTCCTTAGAAGTGGAGTGATGGATGTGTGAGTCCTTGGAAGTGGAGTGATGGATGTGTGAGTCCTTGGAAGTGGAGTGATGGATGTGTGAGTCCTTGGAAGTGGAGTGATGGATGTGTGAGTCCTTGGAAGTGGAGTGATGGATGTGTGAGTCCTTGGAAGTGGAGTGATGGATGTGTGAGTCCTTGGAAGTGGAGTGATGGATGTGTGAGTCCTTGGAAGTGGAGTGATGGATGTGTGAGTCCTTGGATGTGTGAGTCCTTGGAAGTGGACTGATGGATTTGTGAGTCCTTGGAAGTGGAGTGATGGATGTGTGAGTCCTTAAACGTTTGAGTCCTTGGAAGTGGAGAGATGGATGTGTGAGTCCTTAAATGTGTGAGTCCTTGGAAGTGGAGTGATGGATGTGTGAGTCCTTAAATGTGTAAGTCCATTGAAGTGGAGAGATGGATGTGTGAGTCCTTGGATGTGTGAGTCCTTGGAAGTGGAGAGATGGATGTGTGAGTCCTTGGAAGTGGAGTGATGGATGTGTGAGTCCTTGGATGTGTGAGTCCTTAAATGTGTAAGTCCTTGGAAGTGGAGAGATGGATGTGTGAGTCCTTGGATGTGTGAGTCCTTGGAAGTGGAGAGATGGATGTGTGAGTCCTTGTATGTGTGAGTCCTTGGAAGTGGAGAGATTAATGTGTTCCTTGGATGTGTGAGTCCTTGTAAGTGGAGAGATGGATGTGTTCCTTGGATGTGTGAGTCCTTGGGAGTGGAGAGATGGATGTGTGAGTCCTTGGATGTGCGAGTCCTTGTATGTGTGAGTCCTTGGAAGTGGAGAGATGGATGTGTTCCTTGTATGTGTGAGTCCTTGGAAGTGGAGAGATATATGTGTTCCTTATATGTGTGAGTCCTTGGAAATGGAGAGATGGATGTGTGAGTCCTTGGAAGTGGAGAGATGGATGTGTGAGTCCTTGGATGTGTGGGTCCTTGGATGTTTGAGTCCTTGGAAGTGGAGAGATGGATGTGTGAGTCCTTGGATGTGGAGAGTTGGATGTGTGAGTCCTTGGATGTGTGTGTCCATGTAAGTGGAAAGATGGGTGTGTTCCTTGGAAGTGTGAGTCCTTGGATGTGTGAGTCCTTGGATGTGTGAGTCCTTGGATGTGTGAGTCCTTGGAAGTGTGAGTCCTTGGATGTGTGAGTCCTTGGATGTGTGAGTCCTTGAATGTGTGAGTCCTTGGAAGTGTAAGTCCTTGGATGTGTGAGTCCTTGGAAGTGTGAGTCCTTGAAAGTGTGAGTCCTTAGATGTGTGAGTCCTTAAATGTGTGAGTCCTTGGATGTGTGAGTCCTTGGAAGTGGAGAAATTGATGTGTTCCTTGGATGTGTGAGTCCTTGGAAGTGGAGAGATGGATGTGTTCCTTGGATGTGTGAGTCCATGGAAGTGGAGAAATGGATGTTCCTTGTATGTGTTAGTCCTTGGTTGTGTGAGTCCTTGGATGTGTGAGTCCTTAAGTCTTGTCTTCTGTTGGGAGTGCTGATAGACCATGGCAAATTTCAATCCAGATGAGAAGAAAAAGATGACAGCTTTACAGTAATAAACGGCAAAATGTTTTTGCCAGAAAGCCTTCATCAGTCTGTGACACAAACAAGCAATAATAATACTTCTTTTTAGCATTCACTAGCTGTAAATTCCCACAGAAAATTATTGTTGTTATTTCCCTCATGATCTTGAGTCTTGTTCAAGATGTTGAATTTTATAAGTCAAGTAAATTACTCCTTTTAGTTTGCTAAACTAGTTCTGCTAAAGGAGTTTGTGTGTTAACTTTATGTCAACAATTAGACTGAGGTATGAATGCAGAGAGATGCAGATATGAGACCTTGCATCTGTCTTCCAGTGATATTGATGCTAGATTACTGGAGTTAGTGTGTTAGCTTCATCCCAGCAATCAGCTGGTTTGCAGTACCAGCACCTTTCATTATTTATTAGGTATAATTTTTTTTTTAAAGAGTTGTTGTAATAAACACTTTGTGGTCAGTTAGGGCATCCTGTTTTTGACGTTTTCTAGTGAGTACTGGTACTTTTTCCCCAGATGCTTTGTAGTGAGTACCGGCACTTTAAAAAAAAAAAAAAAAACTGGATAGCAGCAGTTGTTACTGTGGCTTATATACACCAATTTTTGTGTGATGGGACCAGTCTAGATTGACATTCTCTTGTTGGTATAACTCACCATTTTGCACTGTTGATTTTAACTGTAATACACACATCATGAAAATCTTGATTTCTCTTGATATCATATGTAGGCTCTTCTACAAGTAGCCAAGAAGCTGTTTACAAGATTAGGTAAGTACAATCAGCTGTGTCACTCCATTCTTCTTCGCTGCACGCTTATAACATTTTTTGTATGATTGAATTTATGTTGCTCAGGGACAGAATTGAACACTTTAACCCAGCTGTTCACTCAGGGGCCAAAATGTTGGTGGGGCTGGGGGGGGATTATCAAGGGCCAGAGGCCTAGGCCTAGCATAGAAATATCATTAACACAATACAGTTGGTAGTGATCAGTGGGCCACATACAGTGCCTCTGCCAAAGATAGTTGTTGGTAATTCAGGCTGAACAGGACCGCCGGGCATCAGTTGTTTTATTTGGTTCTGGCGGTTTGGGTTTTTCCTTTTGAGTTTCGTTTGTAGTAAACCAACCCGGTCATCCTTCAGGTTAGACCTGTGCAGCAGAGGTAGTAAACCAACCCGGTCATCCTTCAGGTTAGACCTGTGCAGCAGAGGTGTTCTCAGCCCAGAGGCCAGATATTTACTTTCTTCAGTCAAGTAAATTACTTCTTTTATTCTAGTGGTGCTTATGGCATTTGATACTCGTCTTATATTTGTATAGACCAGTCAGCACTCTGTAGATGATTGGGCTACGCCGGCCACCTTTGCTTTCTAGGACTTTACCTGGTACCTGTTTTAGACTAGGGCAACCTGGGAGCCAAGCACGTCTTTCACCCAACCTGTGTTTCTCATGTTTGTCTATCCTTCTCTCCTATGTCTACATCTTCTTTCTCTCCTCTCTGTCATTGTCTCTTTTCTCTTTCTTTCTAGATTATGTCCCTTTGTTTATTCTCTTCCTCTTTCCCTCTTTCTGTCTCTCTCTGTCTCTCTGCCTTTCTCCATCTCTTGCTTTCTATGTGACTCTGTTTTTCTCCCTTCACTCCATCGACTCTGTTTTTCTGCCTTCACTCCATCTCACCTTTCTCCTCACTCTGACTCTCTTTCTCTCACTCTCATTCTCTCACTGTCACTCTAATTCTCTTTCTCTCACTGTCCCTCTTTCTCTCACTGTCTCTAAATTTTTACAGCGTGCTTTGTGCTTGGTTGTGTTGAAGTTTAACATCTTTACATTTTTTAAAGTTCCTTCTGAAATACTAGGCCTCAACATTTGCTATTTCTGAACTTTATCATTTTCATCTCTCACCATGTCATTCTTTTTTTTTTTTTTAAATCAATTTTTTTTCCATTTTTCTATCGATATCTTTGTTGCCACTTTGTATTATCATCTTCACACTAAGATACCTCAAGCTATGTTTATTATTTACTATTGTGGAACTGAACACTAGTTTTCTGACCTTGCTTTTGTTCTTGATGTAGTATATATTTTGTATGTGTCTCTACTCCTGTCATAAAGAAGTTTCATCAGATAAAATTCCATAGAATTTTTAAAATGCTAACCGAGATAACAAATACCTGCAGAAGTCGGATGTGCCGGTCGAAGGTCACAGATATCTCAGCCATGTTGTAAACGAGCACAACGCAGTTATGTCTTCAGATATATGCAGAAGAAGATGAAGAAGAAGAAGACATTCCATAGCTGTGGTAGCGTAGTGGCTGGATGCTCGACTGTTGACCCAAACGTCTTGGGTTCAGATCTGCACTGGGCAGATATTTTTTTTTTAAAGTGACCTTATCTCCTCGGTCGGCCCAGCCAGGTAAGGTCCTGGGAAGTAAACGCAGCTGAGCACTGATTGGTCTGAAAATATTAGTCTTGCGTCATATGCCTGCAAAACAAAACTGCCATTTCCACCTTTTTTTTAAATACAATTTTTGCAGTGTAGACAGTTGGGGGGGGGGGGGGGGGGGGGGGGGGTGGCTTGGATCCTCAAGATTTAGAGCTGCATGGCTAGTGCTGTCGCCACGGACTGCAAGTTAGAATTTCATTTTATTCCCTGACAAAAAATCTATGACCTTACCGAGGGTTTAAACCTGGGTCTCTTCTGCATGAGAGCCCAATGTTCTTTACCGGTCGGTCAGCCGCTTTTCACCTAATGCACCACTGGCATGAAAAGGGACTTATTTTACTGTCTTCCTCTTCTTCTTCTTCTTCTTCTTCCTCCTCCTCTTCCTCTTCTTCTTCTTCTTCTTCTTCTTCTGTAGTCACCCTTGAAAGGACAGTCGGCGCATGGTGTTGTGGTTTACACCTAGGTTGCAGTGTATGTATAAGCCCAACATCTGAAATTTTTACAAACTCTTAATTTGAGCCTTTTATGACATGCTTGTTAAGTGGTCTTGTGTCTGTTCTTGTGTCTCCCAAAATCAGGCCCTATAGAGTCCAGTAGACATTAGCAGTGGTCATTGTTATCAAATGTCCTGCCTAGTAATGGTTGGCTGTAGTGAGTCTAACATGCTCTGTCTTCTGTCTTCACAGTTCAGTCATCCAGGTTTCTCCCAGACAATATCTTGATGTTGTCCCTGCGGAACTAACTGTGTGTTTATGTTTTCAGTTTATGTCCCTGACTGTAACCTGTCATCCACTAAGCCATCCCACCTCTCTAGCCCACTTCCTGTTCATTATCTTTTTTCTGCATTGACACATGCACTCAGATTATCTTCCTTTCTGATAAATTATGGATGTTTTTGTGGCAGACTTCATCCTACAGATAAGGGATGTTTTGAATTTCTGTTTGTATTTATATCATTTATGTCATTTGATGAAGTCTTTCTGGCCTTTTCATTTGGGGATTGTTCATGATTGTGATATTGTGAAACTTCAATTTGGGATTGTTCATGATTGTGATATTGTGAAACTTCAATTTGGGATTGTTCATGATTGTGATATTGTGAAACTTCAATTTGGGATTGTTCATGATTGTGATATTGTGAAACTTCAATTTGGGATTGTTCATGATTGTGATATTGTGAAACTTCAATTTGGGATTGTTCATGATTGTGATATTGTGAAACTTCAAGAAAGAGTTGGTTGTTGTTGATTGCTGGAAATGATAGGGTAAATTTATCCTGGTTCAGCTGGTTAACATGTTTGTCTGGAAGAGGATGTTTTCTCTCTCTCTTAACTCTTTGAGTCCCAAGGAACGCATCATACGTCCATAGGTTCCCGCCTAGAAGGCCCAATAAACGCAAGATGCGTCGATTTTACATCTCTTTTGACTTCCCCTTGGGCCTCTGATGCTAAACCCCCTGGGACTCAAAGAGTTAAACCAGCTTCTTAACTTTTGTTATGCAAATTATCATAGACGTATATCTCCAACTCCAGATCGATATCATATATCGATACCTCCAAGTTCAACTTTCTTCTGTTATCAGTAGTGGTATTTATGTTTCTAAGCACAGCTTGTTAACTTTGTTACTGGAAATTATAAAGCCATTATAATTTCTGTGTATACCTGCATAAAGCGTTTTACTGCAAGTGATGTTATTTGTGTGTCCAACTTGTTAACTTTTGTTACTGGAAGTGATCTTATATGTGTGTCTCTAAGCCCAGCTTGTTAACTTTTGTTATTGCAAGTGATGTCGTATGTGTTTCTCTAAGCCCAATTTGCTAACTTTTGTTACTGCAAGTGATCTCATATGTGTATCTCTAAGCCCAGCTTGTTAACTTTTGTTACTGCGAGTGATGTCATATGTATGTCTCTAAGCCCAACTTGTTAACTTTTGTTACTGCCAGTGATGTCATATGTGTGTCTCTAAGCCCAGCTTGTTAACATTTGTTACTGCCATTGATGTCATATGTATGTCTCTAAGCCAAGTTTATTAACTTTTGTTACTGCCAGTGATGTCATATGTATGTCTCTAAGCCCAGCTTGTTAACTTTTGTTCCTGCAAGTGTGTCATATCTATGTCTCTTAGCCTAGCCTGTTAACTTTTGTTACTGCAAGGCCTGACATATATTTGTAGGTGCTTCTGTAAGAGAGAGCATGCTGCAAGTAACAGATGAAGTTTCAAAAAATTCGGGTGGAAAGACAAATGACACAGGAATCTGTACATGTGCTGGGCCTGAGCCACCATCTAATAGAAATCGGGATGTAAGCGTGAGGCAGTACCACAGGAATAGACCACAGAAAACTGGACCAGAAAACTCTTCCTGGCATGAAAACTGCAAGGGTATCATATCAACAGATGCTGGAGAAGCCTGTCTGTATCAGAATGAGAATGATAATCAGTGCCTCTGGTCATTGCCCAGGAGTTCTGCTGTTGCCTCCAGCAACTTCAGCCAAGAGATGGCAAAGAAAGCATTTGTGATGTTGCCACTTTCAGTTCTGCAGTGTAGTAAACATGGCAACAGTTCAGATCTTAACTTGGAGGATCAGCCAGGAGGTGGTCTTCATTTTCAGACAGACTTCCCTCTGAGACCAGTAATGCCGCAGGACACTAATCTGACATCTGAAACCCAAGGCAGTGACTCCGAAAATTCAGATGGATACTTAACACCGGGTACATCCCCATCTGAGCAACTCTTAATTGAATCTATGACTCTGCCTCAAATAGGAACAGATAAGGCAACCCTAAATGTTGTCAAAGACAGTGTTTCACTAACTAATATTCTAAGTAACCCAGTTGTTTCTAGAAAAATGAGAATTTCCCAGCAGGAAAGGAGAAATAGGCTACCTGCTTCATTCTCCGGTTCAGATGTGGCATCAGAAAACACTGATAGAAAACATGAGGACACTTTACCCATGAGGAATTTAACTGTTAGTCCATCTGACCCAGCTGAAGCCTTTGCTGGTTTCAATGATCAGGCTAAAAGAATAACTGAAGTCCCATATATCGTGGAACATCCTGCAAGCAGCAACAGTTCCGCAGAGGTTTTTCGCAAGTTGGAATTTATGAAAGTATTTTTTGAAAACTTGGATGAGTTTGGGTGTATATATGATGTCATGGAACAAAGTTTTGGTTCACAGTCTAAGGGTGTGGTACAACCCAAGGATGTCACTTGCCAGAACGTGTGGAGTGCTGTCACCGCTGCAGAATTCTTGCATGATATCAGCTCTTCTTTAGATCAGGAAAAGCTTGAAATGGATGATAGGCTTTGTAGACATGTTTGGAAATCATGC